CTATGACCTAGGAGCGAATGCGTCGCATATCGTCCTAAGGACGTACACTAAACACTCTAAGTAATTGAGAGGAAGGCCCCCAATCATCATTTCCCAAGTACTTAAGGCTCGTAATGTACAACAATCATTAACCTTTATTAGATGTTTTGAGAAAGTTTGAAGATGAGAAAAGAGAGACACACTAAAGGGAGACTAAGACTCAACTTAAAGTTCTCATGCAAAGTGCACCTATGATTGGGATAAAAGGGAATGCTACCTAATGTTATCATACATGGGGTCAAGCCTAAGGTCTATCATAACCTCTCTTAAACAAGAGAGATTAGAGGTCCTAAGGGAACATGGCAAAGAAAGACAAAAGAAGAAGAAGAAGAAGAAAACATAAGAAAAAAATGCAATATGCAAACATGTAATGCACAATTAGAATGAAAGTGAGGGAGGAACAAAGTGTGGAGTAAACACCACCACAAGCACATCTCAACCTCAAGCATGCAAATGAGATATGCAAGAACCAAAAGAAAATGCACACAAAAGCATACAAATGAGCTTAAACAAGTTCAAGCCAAAAGTGAGATGAAATGGGAGAAGTCATGACCCCTATAACCATTCAAGCATCAATCACCGAAGAAAAGCGGGAGAAAAAAGTGTGGGACAACAGCCACCACAAGCACATCTCAACCGAAAGCAATGCAAGCAAAAGCAACAACAATGCAAATGATCATCATTTTGAACCACATCCATAAGCATGCATTCAAGTAGAAATCGAACACGAGTGTCGACAAAATCATGATTAAACAATCAAGAACAGTGACATATATCCAAAACATCTCACTCCTAATGCATCATACTGATCTATGAAGATTCGAAGTGAAACAATACCAAACCAAGCATGAAAAACAGCAAAACAGGCCTGCTGGCATAATGTTAATCGATTAACACCAGGGGTTAATCGATTAACCGTTGAAAAATGCTTGAAAATTTGAATATTTGTGTTGGTTAATCGATTAACCAATTGGTTAACCGATTAACACTGTTCCAGCAGCAGAAAACAACAGTTTAGAAGCACTTTTCAGCAACTTATCCAATGTGTAATCATTCCAATGATCATACAATCAATTAGGCACGGAATTAAACCAGAAATCAGTGATCTAATCAATATGTAAACACATCTAAACAACAAGATCATAAATCACATGAATCAAATCAACCAAAAGTCAATAAAAAACGAAGATCCACATCGAATATGCAAAATAAGCTCGAAATAGCAACGGATCTAGAATTCCAACCTACGAAGCGGAGAATTGCTTCGTTAATTATTGATTCAACTTCAATTTATTAGATCCAAGCAAGAAATCCGGAAATCCTTCAAGATCCAATTGAGTTCTTGTAGTATAAGTGAAGATCCACCAAAATTAAACAAAAATTATCCAAATAAGCTCCTCTAGAACCACTTCAAAATTCAGATCTACAATTGCACGAAAATTTCATGGAAATGATTCAACAAGGATGAAGGATGAAAGTTTGAGCTCTAGAATTCAATGATTCCAATGAAGAATCAAAGAATTCAATGTGAGAAGAGCTTTTGGTGAAGTTTAGGGATGAAGAAAGTTGAGAGCAAATTGAGAAATGAGAGTGAATTCTGAAATGAAATGAAAATTATGAGGATTCTCTCTGTGAGGTTTGGAGCAAATAATTTAAATACCCCTTAGGTTTGGATCCAAATGAGGCTTGGAATATGGTTTATGAAAAATAGCATGGAATTAGGAATGAGAATTTGGAGGGAACTTGAAATGATTTGAAAGTTAACCAAAATTTGAAATGGTTCTAGATCCTTCCTTTAGTGTAAAATCAATTTCACATGTGATCAAAATTGGACCCCAAAGTAACTTCACTTAGGAATTCACGTGCAGAGCAGAAATTTGCACTGGTTAATTGATTAACCATATGGGTTAACCGATTAACACCTTCAAAAATTCAAATTTGGCCTGATTTTGCTTTGGTTAATCGGTTAACCAATTGGTTAATCGATTAACACCTTCAAAATTTGAATTTTGGCGCCTTTTGGAGGGAAATTTGCACATTTGCTCGTTTTCATCCGTTTTGAGCCCCATGAAACATCTGATGCTTGCTCTTGAATATTGTCACTATGAGAATGCTTGAATTAGCCTGAGTGCTGCTTCTCGGGCTGAAAATTATCCTGCAAAATAAAATAAAATCGACCGCTCGATCGCTGGGTAAAATAAATGCCAGAGCCTCCGATGCTCGTTGTTCAGTCTTTTGCGCTAAAAAGATCCATGAGCCACAGGAAAACCTTGATCCCCTGCCTCAAGAATAAATGCTATGATATGCAAAAATGAAATGAAACACAAGGCAAGTACGAGAACCGGTTGGTCAAATTTTGGGGTGCAACAGTGGTCAAGTTATAAAACAAGTCTGCAATTTACATGTTAAGAACATGTTTGCATTTGTATGTGATCAGTCTGTAAAAGAGGTCTTCAGTTTACATGTTATCACATGTCTGCAAGTCTGCATTTGTAATTACAGGTTACAAATATGTCCATTTGTTCAGTCCAGTTCACAGGTCTTACTTACAGTCTATTTAGTTCTCATTTGTATGTGTTAAAACAAGTTTGCATTATGTCCAATTGTATGTATTAAAACAAGTATGCATTATGTTAAAACAAGTCATCAATGGCGACTCATTGTCACACCAATATCTATTTCCTCTTCTTCTTAAATTGGACTGATTAGTTGAAGCAAATGAGTACCTTGAATCAGACATAGATAAATGAACGAATGTGAAGATTAACAAAGAAAAGAAGAAGAAGAAAAGAAAAGAAAAGAAAAGAGGAAGTTTGAAGAAGATGGGGAAAAAGAAAGGGAGCAATGAGGCAAATAAGATTTCATAAAGAGGAGAAAGAAACAAAGTTCACCGAATGAATAATTGAGTGGGTTAGAGTTTCTTTTATTAAGTTTATTTTAAATAATAATAATAATAATAATAATAATAATAATAATAATAATAATAATAATAATAATAATAATAATAATAATAATAATAATAAATTATTAAAAATAATTAATATAATTAAAAAATAAATAAAAATGACTTGTAATAAAATGATGTATATTTGACAATGACACGTCACAATCACTAATGTCATGTAAGTAAAATATGCTCTCATATTTAAAAAGGACTAAAATTCTATTAAAAATATTAAGGGATTAAAAAACCGAATTTAAAAATAAAGAGATTAAAACTGAAAAAAATAATTAAAATAAAAAGACTAAAATTGCTATTAAACTTCTTTTTTATATTAATAGGCTAATGAATCATAAAATCAAATTTAAAAATAAAGAGACTAAAACTGAAAAAAATAATTAAAATAAAAAGACTAAAATTGCTATTAAACTTCTTTTTTATATTAATAGGCTAATGAATTATTTATTGAGATGTAAATATTTTTACATATTAATTATGTATGTTTGCGGTTCAATTTGAAAAGGTTTTGAGGTAAAAATTCATTTGATCAAAAAGATAAATTTACTTACGAATTAATTTGGTTTTGAATGATTAATTAACAAAATCCAATCCATATGATCCACTTTAATATGATTTAATTTAAATTGATTTTTGAATATCTAAATTACAAATTATATATATTTTTAATTAAAATTATAAAATGCTAATAAATAATATATTTAATATAATATGTAACATATGGTATATTTAAAATTAATATTACAATATAAAAATGATTGAAACAAATAATTTAATAAAAAAGATTGAACAAAACTAATAAATAATATTAAAAAATATAAATATCATCGAATATTAAGATAATCCAATATATTATATTGATAATAAATAAATAAATAATAATTAAATATAAAAAATATATACATGCAGTTTATATTAGATTGATTTTGAAAAGTTAATCTAAAATCCGATTCGAACTTAATGGTTTTTAAAAAATAACATAAAATAAATAATTAAAAGTAAAAAAGTTATATAAAATTTAAAATTTTAAAAAGTCAACATAAAATTTAACATTTGAGTTTAAATTTGTATTAATTATTATGTAAAAAAAGTATTTACCGTATGAAATGTTTCTTTTTTTTTATAGTGTTATCATTAATAAAAATATTTTACTTGTATATTATTTAAACTTATTTAATTTATTATTTATAAGAATTTAACTAACATACGTTGATAATTTATGATTATATTATCAATTAATTAAAACTATTAATTTATTTAAAATGTTTGATTTTATTTTATTAATTACTTAAAAAATAATATTAATATGATGTATTAATGGTGTAAAATAATTAATTTTATTTCATAATTATTCAAATCTATAAAATGCATAAAAGTATTCTTTTTGAAATATTTTAAAAGTATTCTTTTTGAAATATTTTAAAAGAGAATATTGTTCGTTATTATTAGCATTTATATATCCCATATTCCTCTGCACGTGGTTCATTTAAACCTTCACGCGCTCTTCACCACCACCTTCCTCATTTGCTCTTCCCTTCCTTCTGTTCCACCGTGAAACCGTTCCCTAATCACTAACGTGCGCCTTCAGTTCCAAGTTTCAATCTTAACATTCCGTTTTTGAAATAGTAACAGAATCACGAAATTTACCAAGAAATTAAAAACAAAATAGAGAGAGAAAAAAAGAAAGATAGTGACATATAGAAAAAGAGAGAGAAATTGGGTCTGCATTTTTTGTACTACTTTTTAATTTGCAGGTTTTGGAGCATCGTGTCGGGGTGCTTCTCAATTTTCACCTATTTTTATTTCCTCAATTTTCGTTTCTTGTTTTTTTTTTCATATATTTTTTATTTTATTATTATTTTAATTAACTGTCTATAAGATATCCCAGTGGGTTCTTGTTATTTTTTTATATTTGTATATATACCCCACTGTTGCTTTGTTACAACAACAATTTCGCATAGCAACTAGAATTTTTACTTGCGATCTTCTGCTACGAACTGTAATGGGTAGGTTATGTTTCCTGTTTTGAAATTTCTATAATTTCTTTGTTATGATTCAGTTTCTGCATCTTTGCTTCTCGTTGTTCTGAGAGATTTTGGCATATGTGGCTTTTGGATGAGTCAGTTAGCTATGTGATTTTAATTGGTTTAATGGGTTCTGTTTTTGTGAATCTTTTGGTTAAGAATATTAGTTAACAGCTAAGGTTATTCTTACAACAACTTTTTTTGGCTTTCTTCAATTTGTGGTTATTCTTGTTTTTATTCACTCATTCATCTCCTTTACAATTACAATTGGTTACTCTCTTTTTACACACCTCACTTTGTCCCCAGCACTTATATTCATATTCCTCTCTTTTTGCTGTGTTCTTTTTTGTGTTGTCTACAACTTGCTAGAGATTTTTTTTTACCCATCATTATCCTATTTAATGTATGTATCTATATTTATTATGGAGTTTTTTTTTTTGTTGCTAGATTTTGGTTTTTATTGGTTATGAGGGTTCTGTTTTCATATTCTATCTTCTGATTGGTTTGTTGCTTGTTTTTGTTTTTCTCTTTCATAGCTTTTATTTCTGAGGTCAACATGAGTTACTCTTCTTCTCATTATATGGATGATGAATATGAGAAACTCTTCAGGAGAATGAATCCTCCTAGGTAATTATTTTATTTTGTCCTTAATAGATGCAAACAATATGAATGATTCTTTTTTTCTTTTTTTATATGTTTGTGTATTTGTTGTTGACTTGTCAGGGTTGTAATTGATAATGAAGCCTGCAAGAATGCCACTGTTATAAGGGTATGTTTGTTTATGTATTCTTCAATTTCCTTTTGTGTGCGCCAATTCATGATTCTGTGATTGGTATTGATGGCATTTTTTGTGGAAGTTTTTGAATGATAAAAGTCAATTTGTTTTATGAAGGTTGATAGTGCAAACAAACATGGAATACTTCTTGAAGTTGTGCAAATCCTTACTGATTTGAGTCTCATCATAACTAAGGCTTACATATCTTCTGATGGTGGATGGTTCATGGATGGTAATAATTTTCTACTTTTTCTTCAATTTATATATTGATTATTGATGATAGTTTTGGGTAAATTTTTTTGTTCTGGTATTTCAGTTTTTAATGTAACTGGCCAAGATGGAAACAAAGTCACAGATGAAGTCGTTTTGGATTACATTAGAAAGGTAAAAGTGTTTCTCATATGGTGTTTTTTTGAACTTTTGTGCTCATTAATGTAGAAAATCACTAACTACATATATACACTGTTTGATGCCATTTATGGATTTAGTCTCTTGGACCTGAATCCTGCTTTCCGACTAAGATGAGATCTGTTGGTGTTAAACAAACAATGGACCACACAGCAATAGAGTTAATGGGAAGTGATAGGCCAGGATTGCTCTCAGAAGTGAGTGCTGTTCTCACAAACCTCAAATGCAACATAGTGAATGCCGAGGTTTGGACTCACAACACTCGTGCAGCTGCTGTAATGCATGTGACCGATGAGGAAACCGGTTCTGCTATCACCGACTCTCAGAGGCTTTCGTTAGTTAAGGAGCTTCTATGCAATGTGCTTGGTGGTGGAAATAGGAAAAGAGGTGCCAAAACGGTTGTCACGGATGATTCAACACATACTGATAGAAGGCTTCATCAGATGATGTTTGATGATAGGGATTATGAACGTGTCGACGATGATGACTTTGACGAGAAACAAAGACCGAACGTTGATGTTGTTAATTGGTCCGATAAAGATTATTCTGTTGTTACTATTGAATGTAAGGATCGGCCGAAGCTTTTGTTCGACACGGTTTGTACTTTGACAGATATGCAATATGTAGTGTTTCATGCTAATATTGATGCTGAGGGGCCACAAGCATATCAGGTATAGAGCATTATCACTTTTTAAACATGAACACAGACTTGTGAGATTCCTTTTGTTGTTTGGTCTGTACTTTGATGGTGTTCTAAGCTCTTTACATTGGCTAAATATTTTTTATGGTTGTATGTTGTAGGAATATTACATCAAGCATATAGATGGGTCCCCTGTAAAATCAGATGCAGAAAGACAAAGAGTGATCCAATGTCTTGAAGCTGCAATTGAGAGAAGAGTTTCTGAGGTGAGGAACTTATTGATTAGTCATGTTTCAATCGACCGTAAATTAGGCAGAATCAGTGTGCTGGAGTGATTTTACATAATGATAATCTTGTGATTTTGTCTAGTTCACCGTCAATTCAAATATCTATTTGGTGTATATGAATTTATGGTCTCCTGCGTTGACCCTTTTTTCATTGTGTCAAAACATAATTTTCAAATATTCTATGATCTATTCTTAATTTTCACTCAAATTTTATGTTGACCATGATGACCCTTTTAGGTTTAACATCATGTGAATAATCTTTCTAGTTAAGATAATGGTCCAAGGTTAGTTGAACAGCAGTTGATTGACTTTGACTATAAATTTGGTAGTCTACTTTGAACGTAACCACAATTTTGTTAGCTTGACAAAATCTAAACAATATTTTACCAAACAGTAGCATAACACATGTATCTAATAGCATTCTTTAGTAAAAAAATCTTTGAATCTTATCTATTATTGTCTTTACTTGTTTATTTTATACCAGTGGCAGTTAGATATTTTAATTAATTAATTTATATGACTACTAATTTGTCTTTTGTTTTGTTGATTGTTAAGGGTTTGAAGCTAGAAATCTGCACCACCGACAGAGTAGGACTGTTATCAAATGTGACACGTATCTTTAGAGAGAATAGCCTCACAGTTACAAGAGCAGAAGTAACGACGAAAGGAGGCAAAGCTGTTAACACATTCTATGTTAGTGGAGCTTCTGGTTGTATTGTTGATTCAAAGACAATTGAATCCATTAGGCAAACAATTGGTAACACAATACTAAAAGTAAAGGGTAGTCTTGAATCTGTTCCTCAAGATTCTCCTACAAGATCTTCTATCTTTAGTGGTCTTTTCAAGTCAAGATCTTTTGTTAACTTTGGTTTGGTTAAATCTTACTCTTGATGAATCTTGGAAGAAAGTAATGTCTTGTATTATACAGTTAAAAGATTTGGAGTAGGAACACTAGCATATTTCAAGAGTTTGATCTTAGGAAGTGTTTGGATGTAAATTCTTAAAGTAACCCCCTCATGCTTTAGCAGTTTTTAGTGTTTTTTTTTTTTTTTTTTTTTTCTATTTGTTATGGATCCAATCAGTAGTTGGAGTATTGAAAGCAAGTCGAGAACCTTGATTGTGTAAACCTTGAAAGTTTCAAGTGTCATCATTTGTATATATACTCATTTGAATTTTAGGAAGCTTGTATATGTTTCTTTTCTTGTCTTTTACTCTTCAGTAATTTTGCTTGCTAATTATTGCATTTGAAGCCGTGTTTGAATAACTACTATCTATTCCTTTTGTTTTAAAATGACTGTCGCTTAAAATTTTTGCAAACAAATTAAAAAATATAATGATATTGTTATAAAATATTATATTTTTACTAAATTAGTCTTATTAATGTGTTAAAAATAGTATACTGAGTAATAATTAAATGACATAATTGAAAAAATAATAATAATTATTATGTTGAAAAATGAGAATGACATTTATTTTAAAACAAACATTTTCTCTTACTCTTAAAACAATAGTCATTTTAAAACGGAGAAATAATTAAAATTTGGTCAAAGTTATCAAAGTAATTCATCAATAACATTTTGTAAATATGTTAAAATCAAGTCTACCATGTTCCTTAATCTCCTCTAAAGTTCAAGTTTATATTTTTAATTTCAAGAATTATCAAATACTCTATGTCTAAAAAGAATATGTTTCGATCTTTGATGGTACCTTCTACACCCTTTAAAATTTGAAACTACTCTTTGAACGCATCCAAGTTACAACCAAAATGTTCTATTATGAGGTCCACCACATTTTTGACCAAATTGTGGTCCGGAGATACATCCATGTATCAGTTTGATGTATTCGCAGATACATCTCTGAAAAAGTTTTGAAAATGTGCTAAATATAAATCATATCAAAACAACATTATTGACCAAAAATTCAATTTTTGTAAAGCTAACTTACATTAATTTATATTATAATATATCATAATATAAACTATTGGGTATATGTTTAACTGTCTGTCTCCTCTGCCGCCTGTACTACACGACATTCCATAATTTGAAAACCATTCGCTCCATTAGGGACAACTGGGGACTTCCATCCACAAAAAGTCCCGACTCTATGGCTGCTCTACCCATCTCCGCAACACGCTGATATATCGCCGTCACGCTCTATGCTTGCTCATCCTAAACCTCAAGTACTTCCTGGTTAGCTGACCTATATGGTTCTCCAGGAGTGTCTGACCATGATAGGGTATGACACCCTATAGAACTATGTCACGTAGTCTTGAGCAAAAGTCCAGTTAACATGAGTTGGCTCTCAACGATACTCCTCTAGTATCGTGTGACTCTCAAAATCATCCTGTATATCTTGTAGATCTCAGCGACGTATGCCGGGAGGAGCAGACTCATGGGGAAGTCTCGTAATAATCCACAAGTAGGAAAACTGACGCATCAGTCGCTCAAATAGATAGGTATACATAATAGTTGTCCCACATCCCAACCAGTCAAAGTGTAAGAAAATGAAGTCAAACTAACGTGTTTGGTGATGACCCTTGTATGGGAAGAAGCAAACGTCATCTGGTACCATACAATCAAGAGAGATTTTGAATGGCTCGACTGCACCATTCCCACTGTACAAAACAAAAGCGGTTGCACGAGGCCAATCATCTGTGTAATTAGCCACAATTTCCCAACCGTTTACGCGAGGAAAATGGGAGATGATCCATCCCTGAAAATGTTGCGGATACAATGCAAGAAAAACGTTCGGAGATACATTTTCGGACCACTCACTAACATTTAAATAATTGATGTTTACTAAGATGCATCTTCAGCCGCATTTTTTCGACATACGGAAATGCATCTCCGATTACATTTTAACGTAGAAAATGATGTCTTTTTAATTTTGTCTAAGAAATGACTAAAATAAATGTAATTGAAGATACATCTCCGACGCTATGAACATTATAAACTTTTTCTAGTAGTATCGGAATTTACTTATAAAAGTGAAAACATTATTGAATGAGATAATGACCAACCTGAAATAAAACTTGTTTGAATGATATAATTAATTTTTTTTAACAATTCAAAAAATTCAATTGATTTTTTTTTTTTAACTTTTAGTCAATCAGTTGTATTTATTTATCTAAATAAACAATAAACAAAGGTGAATAACATTGTAAAAATCCGATCTCTATTTCTATTTGTACTCATTTTTCGCTTGTTGGAAACCCAAACAATCTACAATTTTTTTAATGGCAAAATACTGTATTAGAAAAGATTATTGATTCAAAGAGTCATAAAGAATAAGATGTGTCTAGTGGGATACTGAAAATACAGATTAAAAAAAAAAAATTGGCAATCAATATAACTTGAAAAACCCTGCTGATAAAAATCCAACCAGTTAAAAATCCAATGTGATTGAAGTTTATACCACCAGAAGCACCACATGCACATGATAGGGTTCTCTCAAAATAAATATTAAAAGTTTACTCATAATTTATCTAAAAACCATTTTCAAATTAAAAAAAAAAAAAACTCATTTCTTCTACTTCTTTAGCAATTTTAAAAAATCCATTTGAAATTAATTATTATAGAGTTAATAAATCGACCAAATTACAGCCAAAACACAGTCTTTGTTGTGGGCTATCTTTGAATCAAATCTTATAAAACAGTGACAACACATTCTTTGTTGTCCAAACCCAAAAAATATTAGCACGATTCCACGAGTTACACACCCCTTATAATTGATGTACTAGTATACATGTGGTGGGACAAATCTTAGTGCCTTTCACCTCAATCCGTTTAAGCAATTTTCATCCAAAAAAAAACAAAAGAGACTATTCAAATATCATCACTCTTTATACTTTTTGGTCCTATTTGCTGTGGAAGATTGGTCATGACGTTAATCTTTGAAATGATACACTAAGATATTTGAATTACTACAATATTCATGAAAATGGAAACGACGTGAGAAATTACAGCGAAAGAACCCTTCTGTTGCGTCCTAATTGGATGTCGTCGTCTCTATTGAAAAAGTTAATGATGTAATTTTCCTTTTCTTTTTTGCTACTCAATCATGTACTTTTCTTTTCTTACATAGAAAAGGTAGTCATGCATTTGATGTAACAAAAAGTTATTTATTTTTATTACTACCATTATACACATCTATTATATTAGTTGACTTATATTATTAAATATTTATAAATAAAATTTAAAATATTTACAATCTAATCAATTGACAATGAATTTTGAAAATATTTACGATTTAATCAATTGACAATGAATTTTGAATTCAACTATTATATATATTTTGAGATTAAATTTTTTTTTGAGTTGATAGGTTATTATCGGTAATTCATTGAAAGATTTGCCAAATTATCTTTGTCGTTTACGCAGTTGACTAGGAAGGGTCAAACTTTTATTTGGGATGCAAAGTGTGAAGAAAGTTTTCAAGAGGTTAAGAGAAGGTTGAAGACAACTCCTGTTTTGATTTTGCCGAATCCGCCAGAACCGTTTGTTGTGTATTGTGATGCTTCGTTGATGTGTTTGGGAGGTGTATTGATGCAACATTAGCAAGTTGTAGCTTATGCTTCAAGGCAACTTAAAGTGCATGAGAGAAATTATCCAACGCATGATTTAGAATTGGTTGTTGTTGTGTTTGTGTTGAAGCTTTGGAGGTATTATTTGTTCGGATCGAGATTTGAAGTGTTTAGTGATCATAAGAGCTTTAAATATCTCTTTGATAAAAAAGAGTTGAATGCGAGTGTCGCAACTATGAAAAACAACTGGCGGAAACAAACAGAAGAGTCGCCACCGAACGTTATTTATCCCAACACAGGAAAAGGAAACGATCAAAAAAACCTGAAGAACGGGAAAAGGCAAGTTCATCGCAACCAAATCTTGGGTTTGGGAGTCGGTTACGCAAGGGGAAGGTATTAGCACCTCTCACGTCTGTTGTACTCAACGCGATCCACGCTTGTTGTCTAATCAAAAGGTGTGTTATCTAAAAGCTACTGCTATACGAAAATGAGAACAAAGAAAAATAAAGACTCTCAATAGGACATTGTTATCCTATGTCTATGTATTTCCTCGTGCAATGGGAAAGTCAGAGTCAACGTAGTTTGAAAAACTACGGGTGAATGGGGGAAGGTTGCTCCACAAGACATCGTCGTCTTGTGCCTATGTATCCTCATCTGACATGAGAAATCAGAGTAGCTGTAGTTTGGCTAACGAAACCACCGGTTAGTTAAGTGTCTTTTTATGAGTGACATTAAGTTCTCATTCCAGCAGCTAGGGTCGATGTCTGTTTGCGATATATCGGAAAAGTAACGTACTCTTTTCTGAAAATGAGTTTGAAACAACAAATCCCGAAGGATAAAAAGGTTTGAAGTTTGTTTGTGAGTTTTAGTGAAGTGAATTAATTTGATTTGTGATTCACGTTGCATTAAAGACTATGATATAGGAACAAATGCATCGCATATCACCCCCAGACGGGACGTACGCTAAACGCTCTAGACGAACGAGAGGAGACCCCTCACTCATAATTTCACATATACTTAAGGCTCGTGGCGCACAATGTTCATCGTATTTATTAAGTGTGTTAGAATTGTTTTGAGATGAGAAGAAAGAAAGACACACGAAAGGTCTAAGGGAAACTCGGTCCTAACGTTGTCATGCAAAGTGACCCTAAGGCCGGGATGCGAAAGAAAATTCTATCCTAATGTTAGCATGCAAAAGATGGACCTAAGGTTGAGGTTAAAAGGGACTAACCTACTTGCTACCATGCATGGATTAAACTCTTAATGTCTATACTACTCCAAGCTTAACCAAAAATTAAGTTGGACTAGGAGTCCTAAGGGAACATGCAAAAGCAAGACAAAATAAGAAAACAAGGCAAAAACAACAGCT